GCTGCAAATTCTTTTATATGCTTTTCTTTATCTGTTAACATCGCTAATAGTAGATTTTTAGAGTGGGCAAATATGTGTTTCGTTGAATAATAGGATCTAGGACTGCTTTTAATGCACTTGATAAAAATCGCGAACATTTAATCAATGTCCAGAGGTGCCGTGATCCGTCTTTGTATGATGAGTGTGTCTTTATTTGGAACCACTCGGGGGCATACCTATACTTTTACAATGTTTTGGGCCAAAATTATAAAATTAGTTGATGGCGTTGGTGTAGAAATGTAAAGCCGCAAGATCCGATTTGCCTTAGTCAACCAACGAGCATGTGATTTTTATCCAGGTGATTTATTTGCTAAGTTCTTCCAGTAATTGCTAAGGTATACAAATACTTTTGGTCTGTGCTTAAGTCATCAGGTTTTGATCTGGTATTGACTCCAATTCAACTACAACTTGCGTTTCACACTTATCCAGCAACAAACCAATAGGACCATTGTACGTAGATGGACCAGAAGTTTTACCATCCATATAATCAAACAAATGCCTCAAGGGCAGTTCATTTCAATGCAGCAAGCAAATTATCCATTGCAAAGGTCTCTGAAGTCTTTTTTCAAATAACCTTATGACACTACTAAATTTACATGTATTTGTTACTGTTCCATCGCATCCAATAGCCAGGAGGTCAACAGTACTTATATTTTTGGCGAAAAGAAAAGCGTTTATACCTCAATGGCCTTTGCAGTTCCTTGTAATTCTTTCAGGAGCTGAATGACTGTTGTATGCAAGGCTACAGGGATTGATGCCTTTTCTCTTTCAATTTCTGCAATTTCGGAAAACGCAGGCTCTTATTTACTGCTATTTTTAACTTTCTGTAGTCTATCCACTCGTAACATTTCATGACATCCTGGTATATTGATAACACGATTTCTTTTATATCTTCTATAGTTCTTAATATATATAGGGCACTTGTAAGACTGTCTATTATTTGACATGATAGAAAAATTTGATTTCCAAGTTCTTAAGCAAAAATTAGGGAATGCAATCCCGACTCGAGATCATAAATTCGAGATCCCGCGGGATTAGAAATATCAATCCAGCGGGATCCCGAGATTTTCGAGATCTCGTCTAGTTAAAAAAAAACACATGACTGAATACGATGAAAACTGCTTGTTTTTGTTAGTGAAGTTAATTAAAACAAAATATTATTTGAAAGAAAACAAAAGCCTTTATCCTTTAATATTTCTAACTAAATAATTAACAGCTTTACTAACATGAACATTAATACACAAAAGTAGGCATAGCTCAAGGAGATTAAAAAGTAGTAAAGGGGGATTTTGAAAGTTACTTCTTAAAAAACAAAGTGTATTAAGAGTGCTATCTGCTAACTGGCATTTTATGTCCGTTGCAATATACCAGCTGCTGAGAATGTCCTCTCCGCAACACTGGTTGGCAACAGCGTGACTAAGCAATTATATGCAAACTGCAAAAATCTCCCCTTTGTTCCTTCCTCCACACTCAGATTAATCGGATTTTTCAAATATAACAGCGCTGCAGTTGCTTTTATGCGACGCTCGGAGATACGATTGTTCATCGAAGAGACCAACTTTTCTGAGTTTTTAGGTCTTCTAGCTTTCGAATCATGAAACGCAACGTATGTTCTGCACTAACTCAATCAGTCTCCTAATCCCGTCAATCTCGAACGGGATCTCGTCATATTATGCTTCGGGATCGATCCCGAAAAATTACACGGGATCTCGCCAGATCGGGATCCCGCGGGATCGGGATTGCATTCCCTAGCAAAAATACATAGTTTACAATTTCGCAACATTTCACTAGAAACTAGCCACATTGATACATAAATTCTCTGAATGTACTTACCTCAAAAAATCTTCTTTTAATAAATAACACAGTTTATATAAGAAAAGTAATGTGTATTTAAATGGAAAATTATTAAAACATTAAACTATACCCAACGTCAAACGTGTAACTTAAGGTGTAAAAGTGGGTACCTGAGCTATTTTTTTCAAAACTTCGAGGGCGTTGCGCGGGCTGTTCCACTTAAAATAATTAAATAATATTTTAAAGGGTTTATAACAATACCTAACTACAACATATTTTCGCTATTAGAAATCGATTACTTAAAAAAATATTTTTTGACCCACCCTATTATATAATTAATTTGTTTAGTTAACATATAAATTATATTTAGTTAAGTTTGACTAGATTTAACAATGCAACTGACATTATTTTGATTAAAAATCGCGTAGAAATAGCAATCGTTTTTACTAATATGCAGATAATTTTTATAATATGATCAGCATAGATCAATAAAAGATTGGACCCTTGAAAGGAGTCTGTGTTCCCTCACCAGTAAGATCTATAATCATTCTAACCTGCTACCCGTACCACGAGAGGTTGTTAGTCTTAGTAATATTTTTCGTGTGTTTATAAGTTGTACTAAAACAGGTTAAGACAGAGCTCAAGTCTGAGGAAGCAGACACATCGGAGGAACTGATGCAGCATATTCCTTTATTGATGAAGACTGCAAATCGCATCAGCGGTGTACTTATGGATCTGGAGTAAGGATTATTGTTTTAATTAACGTAGCTCTCAAGCAAACACTACTAGACAGTTTTAATTCAAACTTATCTGGTACAAAATCTAGTTCATCAACGATATAATTTGTCTTTACTTCGCGTATACGAGTAATTCAGAATTATAAAGGACGTGCAGCATATTGGCATCATATTTCTTTTGGAAGTAGGATGTAACCAATAATGACGCTCATTATTTTACCTTAGATGTGACCATAAGTACGGTCTGTAAATAAGTAACCAATTTAAGTCTAGGTCGATGGGTCATTCAACAGTGTATTATCATAAGATATAAAATGAATGCGCGTAGGCGTTATTATGCAACAAAAACCAGTAGGTATGAAGTCCCGTAACCCGGGTACAGGACAGACACCTCACTGCGTCTATTTCAGTTATTCGCTTAATTTCCTTCACCAACTGGATGCAGGAAGTACAAGATAGGACCGGCTGATAGGCGATGATGGCTCTAGCGCCTCGATTATGATTTTGTGGTCAACCTTCTGTGCCTGATACACGTCACCGTTTTTCTTGAGTCTAATACGCATTGTTTGACCATACTAATTAGCGTTTATTTAGCATGTGGGAGCCTCCATAGGTACACTGCCGAGATTCGAACATATGGGTTAATAATCGCACGCTACATTACATGTTGGGAAAAATGTTATCTTCCATCAACATTTATCGGTAAAGGTTTTATTGTATGTTATATCCAAGTAATAAAATATTTAATAACAAAATTTATTATATATATTGTACACGCTCGAAATGCCTGATAGTTATGCATAAATTATGTTTTGAAATTTTGAAATTTTCAGAAAACTCATCCCTGTGAAAGACTCTTATTATTCGTATTTGGGCTCACTGACCTCACCAGAGTGCAATGAAGTAGTCGTTTGGATTATATATGATAAACCTATTCATATTTCTGACGCCTTGGTATGTATGAAACTCCCTAAGACAAAATAATAATAATAATCCAATATGGGTCTTTTGTTTGGATTTGAGACAGTTGAGATGTTTTACTGCACCGTACGAACGAGTGTTAGATGCGTACATAGACAGAAATTCCATTGGTGAACAGCCGGGGTCGAAGCTATGACCTCAGGGATGAGAGTCTTTACTATTGTTTTATTGCCAAATAGATAGAAGGCATGATTACATTTATTTATAAGCAAACAGGTGATAACCTTTCATTGCCTTCCAACAAATATCACCGTCAAGTCACAATTGCATAAATAATATAACGGTTAAAGTAGTTTAAAATTAAATGTACAGATTTGTATTGTTTACCAAATCTTAATTTTACGAAAATCTTGGAAAATATGTACATTATTACATTAACATAATTTTTAATTCAATCGAGTTATTCACTCCTCAACAATCATACTTAATCTATGTATTAGAAATAATATTAACAACAAGAAACGGGAACCTAAATTTGTATTTTACTTAATTCCAGTATAGAGTTTTCGGCAACGTAGGCGTAGGAAGACACAACTACAGAAGTCTCCAGCGCCTGTCTCACCATCTGGTTTTCCAGCCACCACCTGCACTGGTCGCCACGCCGGTCGCCGTGCAAATGTTTAGCGATGCAGTCAAAGTTATACGGAATTTATTTAAAAATATTACGAGGTACTCACCTAGTCAAACGCCTAAGATGCATTTCAGCCGATAACATTTCTAAGTTAAACATTAATTGACCTTTCCTTAATGATTCAGTTAAGGGTTATCGAGTCCAAGATTTTCCGCTTTTAATATCTATTCGCCCAATTGCTATGATTGACTTCGAGTATCGATTTAAATAAATTTTTAATAATAATATTAATTTTTACAGTTTCGTATCAAGAGGCTTGCATTCGAGATAATTCTACCGGATTGATTCAAGACAATTAAGGATAATAAAATAATGTTTTGTTAAAATCTATTTATTAACGTAACCGTACAAGTTATTAACAAATAAATACAAAATACTTCGTACGATTTCTGTCCTTTCATACACTGTACAATTATCACACGAAACTAATCAACAAATTTTATAAAAAGACTATTATTTTAAATGGATTCAAAGTTATTTACACAAGAAAGATTAAGGTGAAATTGATGACATTAATTATTTTTTCCATTCTTTTTATATACAATAAACACGACCGATTCATGGAATTCCTGAAATACATAAATAATCCTGAAAGTATTTTGAAAATAAAGAGGAAATAAAGAGGAATCATAGAAAAACTAATCTTTTTCAGTCGGGGTTTGATATATTATTTAGTAAATAAATTAGCCTGCATTAACCAAAGAGAGTCGGTCACACTGCTAAACCGATTCTGATGGAATTTGTCATCGTTTATCGAAAAAGTATTTCTCGCGCTCACAATATCACATCCACACAAATTAACTAAGTCCGTCCAAGCTCTATAATGCGATCAGCTCCTTCAATTGTTTCTCAACGTATTGCACTCGCGACACCAATTTGTCCTTCGGGTTGTATTCCGTGTACGGGACTTTAAGTACTTTGAAACCCTGGAACAAAATTACGCTCAACGCTAATTGTCTGCAAATTTACATCATTGTATAACATTTATTTGTTAAACGTCAAAGGTATCATTTGTATAAGAAAATAAAGTGCGATTTCAACCCTGAGGTCGGGCGTTCGATGCCTGACTGTGCACAAAAAGATTTTCTCACGCTCACGAAATCGACACGTCATAGACCTAAGCACAGGCATAGATCGCTAATCACCAACATGTCTATTAAGAAAAGTTTACCAAAATGATTAAAAATCTGAGCTATGTAGCACCACTTCTACGGTATAGTACGAGACCCGTTACCTCTGTTTTTTAACGGTCTAATCAAAAATTATACCTATTTAATATAACAATACCGGTATGCAAAATAATGGATTTATTTGAAAATGACTCACCCTAAGCTCCAACAGGCGCGTGTAAAGCCTGAAGGTGCCCATTTCGACCGGCACCCTTCGCGTCATGTCGTGGTAATCCAGCGCGAGAACTGCTATCCGGTGAACGCTACAGGTCGGGAGAGAAAATGTTCAGCATTAAATCGAAAATAGAGGTATACCTAGGTAACACTCCGTTTCTCTCTACACATCGTCGCATTCGATGGAACCTCTGAGAAAAGCAGTGGGCCCATTCTTCCTCTTCTATAGCATTTTCTTACGCTTTCACCGCATCTTCAGGGCTCGTAAAGCGAATACCTCGAATTTTATTTTTAGTTCTTGAGAATAAATGAAAGTTGAATTTAGTCTCACGCCGACCGCACGCGCACCGTCGGCGCTGATGGTCGAGATATATGAACTTCTAGGAAGCGTTTCTAAATGACGCGTAGCTATCAGCGTGGACGGTGGTCAGCGCTGATGGCTGCGCGCGTCGGCGCCGCGTAGCTGTTAGCGCTGACGATCACTAGAGCGCCTCTGCTTTCATTGAGCGTTGTAATGTCGAACGGAGCGGACGTCGTCAGCGTGTACAGTCACGGCAAATCGCGAAGTGGATACAGGTCGAGTTATCGAGTAATTCGTCAAAAGTTCTTGTTGACATTCGAAAGTAATTAAAGAATTTACTTTCGTCAGCCCTCAAAGTGCCATATAACAAGACAAAGTCTCCTGCAACGGCTCTCTGCTCAATCAATGGTTGAACATGGAGTCTTCGTCGTCGCCGGTTTTTATTTTTTTGAGATAGGTAGTACAAAGCAGCAATAACTAATACACTCCGAATTTTGGTCTTCGTCTGTACAGTAAGGCGGTCAGAGTACGATACTGAAACGAGCCACGCTGAGCCTCAGCGCTGATCTATGAGCGCTGACGGTGAGCGTGAGACTAAATTCAGCCATATACATTAAGTTACCAAAGAGTTCTAAAATTGATATTCAAAAAAGTTTTCATTGGCAATGTTGCTAACTGGCCAGTTCTAAACATTTTCAGTGTTACCCACGTATCATCGCGACAAAGAAGCTAACCCTTGAAGTGTTGTTTTCTTTACAGCAATAATTGTAATCAGGATACAGCGTCATATATTCACATACAACAATTATATATAGACTCACTTGTTATTATTGACAGCCTTTTGTAAGGGAACTGGATGACATTTCGAGTCTACTGCGAATTCTGCGTCTGAAATTACAATTTGTTTATCGATCGGCACCGATAAAGGCACATCAGCTAGAGTGAGACGCGGCGATGGCCTCACCGTACAGAAAGCCCATTCCGGAGTTGCAGTCCCTCTGCAGGAACGTGTCCGCCGAGACCAGACTCTTGAAGGTGTCCATGACGCTCTGCACGAAGAGCGCCTTCTCCTTCGTGTGCACGAGGGACACGCCCACCGATATGTCTTCGGGGAGTCGGGGCGGGTGAGGCAGCTTCGCGGCCACGTACGCGTCTATCGCCATTAGTTTGCGGCGGGACGGAATCGAAATTTCTGCAACCGAATTCTGTTTTTTATCGCCATTTGATTATTTAATTTAATTCGAGTGAGTTTAACTGAACTGAGCAGTAAAATAGCAAATCAATTCTGGAGCAAAATTGATGCCTTTTGCCTCACTCGTAATCGGACTTTTTAATAAATCTATATTTATTTTAGTAATATATTCCAAGATGCAAATAACAAAAATATTATTTAACATAAAAGATATACACAATATAAAAGCCTCTCGAATTTAGGCCGATATAAAACATGTTCTTTAATACTAAATAAACCCTCACCTCCGAGAGACAACAGTTTGTCGATGAACTCCGGCTTCAAAGTGGAAGTGAGATGATGCATCTCGGCCTTCTCCAGGACGAGCAGAGAGAAGACGAGGTCCAGCCACGAGAGAGCTTTCGTCATTTCGTCTTCCTTGAGCAGGAGCGCGGCCTGCCACATTTCGATACGGGTGAGCCCGAACGTTCTCGACGAACAGACATTGGGAGATCAAAGTACTTACCTCCAGAAAGCCCTCACAGTTGGGCGGAACGTAGTTGACGTTGGCCAGGGTGACCACGGCCGATGCGATATCGCTCGGTCTACACACGGCTCTGTTGGTCTGCATCCAATCCACGAGGGCCGACAGGGCTTCCTCGTGTCGGTACTTGAGGAGCCCCAGCGACACCAATATCGAGTTCACCACCGCCGGCTTTTCTATGTTTGACGGAAGATTCTTTATGACTTCGCTGTGAAATACATTATTTTTATAATAAGAAAGTAATTTATCTTATTTTGCTTTTTGCGTGTGATAAATGCCATCTTTGAGGGAGAGCACGATCTCTCGGCACGACCTGGCACGGTTCTGTGCCACGAACGAACGATGTGTGTTTAAACAAATTTGTATTGCAAAAAAGCATTAAATAAACTTACTACAGATTTGTGTCAGACAATTAATGCTGACTACTTGGCTATAAAAAATAGTGTGACTCCCAGTCTGGTGGGAAAAACTGGTCTATCAAGTCTTTTTAAATTACCTGCAAATCCTGTCCAACAATACGGGGTCAGGGAAATTTAAGGATACCATAGAGAACAGTAAGTCTGCCGACTTCTTTAGATCGATGTTATCCGGCTGTTTGGTGATGTTGTAGGACAGAGCGCGCAGTAATGGAGTACTTCGACGACTTTTTTGCTGAAGGGCTTTCATCACCTAAACATAATTTAAACTATTATTTAAAGGTTTGTTCAAAACATGTATATTGATGAATAATTACTCCAAATTCATTTTGATGAAAATATCTTAATTCCATCTCCATTAACCCCACTCTTGTGCTTTCAATTTATATATCAATAAATATCCTATAATGCATACTTTCCATTACTACTTATATTAATACTATCGAGAAATTTACCTTAATCATTTGTGACAGTGACAAATTACCAATAAGTCTGGCCGCTTCATCGTCTCCAGTTATACCTAACACGGTACTCAGATCTTCCGCCATGGTCAGTGATGTCATCGCATGACTGGCTGGAGTTCGTGCCAGAATTCGACACAACTTTAGAAATCTCGGGTCTTTCTCAAAATCTGATAATTTCACCCGGTTAGAACTCGACCATTCCGATAGAACTGAAACCATCTGAAAATAATTTTTGTCTGAATTTAAACACGGCACACACGACCACTCCTTATTAATTATTTAAATATTTACTTTTATTAGCTGAACTATAAATAAGTTCAATATGTTCTGTATTAATAAAAATATTTTAAAGCGATTAAAGTAAAAACAAGTGCCGCTCAAACAACCCTTGGTCTCAGATTTCTGTAAATGTTCTGTTTTGTATTTTTTTTACTTTAAAGGCAAGTAGGTCAGGCCTTCTGAGCCTGACCTTTTGGGTCTGAGTCATGACTGTTTCGTCAAAATGTTTTTCAACATACTAGCGAGTGTTAATGACGCCCATAACTCACACATACACAAACATCTCATGACAATAATTATTATTACTAACAATTAAGAACAATACCTTTAAAGCATGTTTTCTTGACACAATTGGGTTTTCAGCCACTGACAGAAGGCTATTTATGTCTGTGGCTTTCATTATTAGAGTGTCTAATTGTTGAGTCCGAGAAAGCCTAACAGACTTTACACTTGGTTTTTTTACTTCACTTTCTGGTGTGTTTAATGTAGCAAATGCAGCTGCTACAAGGCCTAAAAATAGTTGCATAATTTAGTATGTAAGTGAGTTTGGATGTAGAGTCTTGTCTAGTTTAAGCTTACAGAATAAGTTAAATATATCAGCAATAATAAAGCAAGTATTTCATTAAAATAGAGAGTAGATTTTGAACAAATTATATTAAAAGTGAATGTTTAAGCTTCTCTAAGTATTTTTTTTTTAGATTTTATGGCTTAATAACAAAGCCTTTAAGCCTAATCTTTAGAACTCTCTTTGTATTAAATGTTATTCATAAATATATGGTTCGTAAAAACTAGTTAACATTTTTTATGAAATACAATAATTGTAACTTAGATAATTATTTTGTTTGCAAGAATAAAATGTCAAGTTTTAAGTGCCTTTAAAACTTTGCTAAATTCAGACGGCTTAGACACATGAATCTTCAAAGAGTTTATTTAATTTATTAAAAAAATTAAAACGATAAAATGATTCAGATAGCACATACCTGTTCTAGCTTTCTCATCTGACATTTCAAATTCATGATCTTTGCCAGTAACATCCTTGAGATGATCAGATTTTTCAGACTTAATTACAGTGGCGCCGGGGCCTGATAAGTTTCGCAAAGCTGAACGGGTTCCTAACCTCCACGACACTAAGGCTCCAAATTTCAACATACTCTGTAATTTATATTAACCATGTTGGAAATGTGACATAAAACTAATCAAATAGAAACTGATTTCATCACTATAAATGTGATATACTGTCTAATGAGACTGAAAATCATGAAAAACTAGGCTTCTTACATCACGCTTATGAAGAGTAACAAATACTATAATGGATTGTAAGTGTCTAAAACCAGATTACAAATTAAATAACAACAACCTTTTTATGTTTTATCGTATGTTTATTTAAATAAGTCACTGTTTTTAATATTTACAAAAATTACAAATATTCACTGATCAAATTTGTGAATATTTTGACATTTTGCAATTTACTTTTGTATTATGAGTCGGATCACGGATGACGGATACTATGACGGCTGCGGTCTGCGGGTTAGCCGCTGACAACCAATAACAAACCCCATACTCAATGTAGACTATAATTTAACTCGTTCGTAAAATGTCAGTATATTACATTATAGTTGAGTGTGCAAAATGTGAGTGATGAATTTCGCCAACGGATTTGAGTTAAGAATAAGGTCAAGAAATAATATTGTGGATCTTGCCGGTCCATTTTTTTTACCCCCTTGTCTCTAATACTTTAAAAGTGAATGTATTGTGTACATGATATAAAATAATTTTAATGATTATTTCTTTAATAATTTATAGTTTGTTGTAATGGTAAAAGTGAGGATGGATTCGTAATTATTAATAAAAGTAAACTTTTCCATATAAATGTTTCTACTGTAGCCATTAATAAATTTATAAATTGCAACTCGTTCAATTTCTGTACGCTAATGCTTCAAAATATGCACGATTATCGATAAGATTGGATTCGATGATCCAACTAAATGTCTCAAGTTGCAAGGGTCTTCAATGGAGGAGAAAAAGCAAAGCTAATTGCAGATGTCGCCATCATCGCTTGACCCATAACAATACGCTGTCAGTTTTCAGCAATTTTTACGTAAGTCGTACGATTTAGTGAATCTTAAAAGGTGAAAACTGCTGAATAATGTATTCAACATGGACTGTTCCACAATTAAAAGTAGAATTGAAGACCCGGGGCGGTTCGTTAAAAGGAAGAAAGGCAGTTCTTGTCACGAAGTAATCACATTGGAATATTTTAAAAAGGCCCTACTTAATAAATATATTTATAATAATGACTAAGAAACATTGATATACAAAAAACCCAAGATGCACAGTCTCGAATAAAAGTAACGCTCGAAAGTGTCCCGAAACACTATTTCTGTCCATAACAGTATATGTTACAAGTATATATTATTGCAAAATCAACCTTACGCGAATTGCTTAAAGTTGTTATTACAACGCAGTGTATACGTACTTAAAGCAATAAAATTTTACGACCGACCGTGGTCGGTAGGACAAGGTATTGAGTGGAGTCGAACATGACTTTTTTATTTACAACTATTTAACATAATTTTAAATTTATCCGACTTTTCGGGTGCTTTACAGCGTGAGTGGTCACGGTGACTGAAGACAAAAGGTGTTGGATGTTAAATAGTTGTAAATTTATAATAATACATAACATTAATCCGGTTAAAAAGTTTTTTCTTTAAATTAAAAAAAAAATGTTAAATTGGCTACCTCCTGACCCACACTTTATATAGCGTAAATATATTTGTCAAAAACTACACACAAAAAAGTTCAAGAGTACATAAATTTATTTATAAAAAAAACACAAATAAATAACATCGACTCCACTTATAGACGCGAGACTATTTGAAATGAGCGCACAATTTAGAATGTTGCGCTCATTTTTTGAGGACGTTTTTTAGACGTTGATTGTGCATCTTGGGTTTTTGTATATCAATGCTAAGAAACAATAAAACCCACTAATTACTTTTGACTTTTATTTTACAATTCCTTATTTAAATTACATAGCACAACAAATGAATGATTCCTAGTGAAATATTGAAACTGCCTTTAAATAGATTCAAAACACATATCAAAAAAACCTTAATGTGTAAAGGTTACTACACAGTCAATGACTACCTGGAAGATAAAAACGCTTGGCAATAGTTGTAATTATATTCTTATAATTTGATTTGTGTGTAATGGTGAATGTGGTAAATCACAGAACAGATTTTTATATATTTTTTTACTTATGTAACTTTAATGACGTTGTGGTTTATGACATTTTCCTTTGAATAATTGTTATGTAGAGGGAGGGTAAAACTTGCTGAGTTTCTTGCCCGTTCTTCTCAGAACAAGGCCTCCTGGTAGTTGTGCACGGATGGCGTAGTCTTGCTCTTTCGCGAATTTTGTAAACGTTTTTGACATTCATAAGCATGCCCTAAGGCGCATCTAAATTGAATAAATGTATTTTGATTTTGAACACAATTGAATCCACGGTCAGCCATTATTGCATCTTTTTCATCAATTACAGCTAAAAGGGAACTTCTTTCAGTTATTTGACGGTCACCGGTAGAGCCTGCATATCCATCTGAACAAAACGATACAAGATGAACTGAACAAACGCCACCAGATGTAGCGCCCACCAATAATTTTAGTGTGGTGTTTGTAGCTACTAAATTTTAATTTGTTGCACTATAGGGTTTTTTGTTTTTGATATGGGTATTTTGGTACCATCTATTATCACTCTGGGGTAGCTGGATGATATTGCTTAAATAAATCTAGCATAATTTATTAACAACCAGTGAGCGACTAGGCCAAATATCTATTTTTTCCATAATTCATAAACAAAATTTACCCATTTAACAAATATATTCCCAACAGCAGTAGTACTAATGCCAAAAAAAAATTCCATCTCAAAATCAGGTTTATTTCTTCTTAATTTAACTAACATCAAAAGAAATTGATCCATTCCACTGATGTTAATGACTTGACTGACACTATAATTGTATGATTACGATACTTGCATTGGTAGTAGGTTTCTTCCATGCGAAAACAGTTGGGATTGCAGTCTTTTTCAAATATCTATGGTACGGAACTTGAGGTAAACCTAAAATGAATGCATAATAATTAGTACTTATTACATACCTTAGTACCTATACCATATACATCATAATTTAAAAGTAGTTTATGCAAACCTGTAGAGGAGTTAACACCTTTATAATCGGATACAATAAAATGTTCCGCTTCCGAACATAACCTCGAAGAGTTTATAGCTTTGAAATTACCTCTTTTTAGAGCTTTTTCCCAATCATTTTATGCGTAAATCCTTAGGAAAACTGTGATTGCCATTGTTATTACAACCGATTGCTGCACAGCGAGGTATTTTTGGAGAAAAAAAAATGTTTTACCTTGTGTTATAATAATATAGTAGGGGATTTGACGTTTGCTTGCATTTGTTATGGGTCAAGCAATACCAGCGCTACTAGTGGCAAAGTTTGGCGGTTTTCTCCTCCATTTGTGAGGACCTACTTGAATTACAATCAATCAGCGCTGACACAGATGTATTTGTCTTGGTTATTACTGGAAATGCTTAGCAAGGGTGTCTCGGTCTATGGTTTGACGGTTCTCACACAAAAATATAGTTTTTCTAGGATGCCATTTAAAAAATTATCTGTTGATGACCTCAGATTTATACTGATTTCTCAAAATATAGGTTTCAATTTCAATTTGATGAGAGTGATACGAGGCGTGCCTTTTAAGATTTGTAGTTTGAAGAAAAAAAACCAATTAGAGCCTTTGTGGCGTCCTCGTCGTCATTGGTAGCTGAAATAAAACATCAATAAAAATTACTAAGAATTAAATTATTAAAAATGTACTTACCAACTTCTACGTATAGACCGTGTCTATTGTTCTCCGCGGCAGGCGGGGGGCGAGGCACGCGCATTCCACAGCGCGCTCCGCCACGAGTACGGCCCACGATTTCTTAAGCGACACACGTGCAACTCGCTGCCGACGCCGCGGTTTATTTTTACGAAAATATATACATCGTTGAGATCACATAAGTTTTATTATTTATATAGTGTTTATACGACAACGCGAACACTATACTGGTGACCCCGACGTGATAAGAGTAAGAAAAAACTACACGCCACGCGGTCTTAGCACTTTTGCCATGCAAGGCGAAAACGGTGGGGACACGGACAATATGGAAAAAGGTGCACATGAAATTTTCAAAGTTGGAATTAAAATACCACCATTTTTACCGAATAGACCTGCACTCTGGTTTGCTCAACTGGAAGGCCAATTTTGTTTGGCGGGGATAACGTCAGACACGACTAAATTTTATAACGCGACTAGCCAGCTGGACCCACAGTTCGCTATTGAAGTTGCGGATATTATAGAAAGTCCTTCCAAAGACAACAAATACCAAACCCTCAAAGCGGAGCTAATAAGGCGATTAAGTAAACCGCGCGAAGAAGAAATTAGGCAATTTTTAGACAATCAAGAACTCGGCACTAGAAAGCCTTCACAATTTCTTCGTCACCTACAACATTTGGCCGGACCACAGGTACCAGACGAATTTATTAGATCAGCATGGCACAATAGGTTACCCAATAACATTCAACCTATCATTGCATCGCATATGGATATGCCGCTAGAGAAACTTGCAGAGTTGGCTGACAAAATTATAGCCATCGCAGCCCCAACCCCACCAAATGTTTACGCCGCTACATCGTCCTCAGCTAACCAACATGCTGGAAATCCTCCAGACCACTACCTCACCGTTTTAGAAAGCTTGGCCAGGCAAGTTAACGAATTAACCAAGCAAGTTGCTTTCCTGAGCATGAATAATAGCCGATCAAGCAGATCACCACAACGTAGGTATAACAGATTAAGATCTCACTCACGCTCCACCCAAATATGGAAGGAAAACAAAATGAATAGCGTGTGTTACTACCACAGAAAATTCGGTGAAGGCGCCATAAAATGTCTCACGCCCTGTTCCTACAAGACTTTAAACGTGAACGGCAGCCTGTAGTGGCGGCTAACGACTGCCTAACGCATACTCCTAATGACCGCCTCTTCATCGTCGAAAAGAAAACTAAACTGAAGTACTTGATAGACACGGGATCTGACGT